GCCTGCAGGGGAAGGCAGCTGGGGGTAATGGGGCTGGGAAGGGAGCAGTTAGGTGTCAATCAGGCCAGCAGGGGAGCAGTTAGAGGGCAATCAGGCAGGCAGATAGGCAAGTGGTTAGGAGCCAGCAGTCCCGGATTGTGAGAGGGATGTCCGACTGCCAGTTTAGGCCCAATCCCTATGGGCCTAAACTGGCAGTCGGACATCCCCCAAGGGGTCCCAGATTGCAGAGGGTGCAGGCTGGGCAGAGGGACAACCCCTTGCCCCAGTGCACATCTAAATATGTTGTGTCACTTAGAACTGCATTCAGGTGCATGTAACATAAACCTAAAAAAATAATTGCTTAACTGAATGGGAGCTTGTTTTCCTAAGACAAGAAATCTGGAGTTGGGCAGTCCAGGGCTAAGACATCTCCACGCTATCTATCATCAGGTTCCAGGCACCTACTGTCCATTCCTTTCTCCTTTATTAAGTGGCTTTTTATCAACATCACTCCAGCAATTATCCCCTTTCCTGCATCGAATTTTCCCCCACTGGATCACTCCCATTAGCAAACCAGGAGAAATAGATGTTATTTATCCCAAATAAATAAGAAAATAAACCTCTTTTGACCCCATCTCTCCTGTCCTATTTCTTTATTTTTCTTTATAACATAACCCTTTCTTATGTTATAAACCTCTAATTTCTTTCCTCCCATTATCTCTTAATATGCATTCCAATCAGGCTTCTGCCCACACCATCTACTGAAACTGCTCATACCCAGGTTACCCATCACCTGTGTGTTACTCTATCCCAAGCATGTCAAACTCGTGGCTGGCGGGGCATGTGGCCTGCTAGTCCCAACTTTGACATGCTTGCTCCATCCAGCGGTCAATCTCAGACATCCTGTTACTGGTATCTTGCATACCAGTTATACCCGATTTTCTTCTTGGAATTTCCTGGACACCATACTGCCTTCAGTGTGGTCCACCTCTTTGGCTAGTACTTCTTATTTCCTTTCTCCATCTCTCCAATCCCCAAATGCTGGAGGACCCCAGAATCAGCCCTTCAATCTCCTCCCTAGTGATCTTCAGCAGCCTCTTGGCTTTCATACCATCTGTGGGGTTTCCACACAAAGTTCTCTCTCTCTAGCTCAGACCTTTACCTGAACTACAGATTCCTATAACCAACTGTCTATTTCATTTCTCCACCTGAATATCTAAAGGGCATTTCAAACACTGATGTCCAAAACTAAGCGCCTGATGTTTCCTCAAAATTGTTCTCAATCTCCTCTTCACAGTGAATGGCAACTCTATTGCTCAAAAAATTTCTTCTATACTCCACATATGATCCATCAATGAGTTCTGGTGGCTCAAATTTTAAATTATACTCAGAATCTGGCCACTTCTCACCAGTTAACCACACTGTAAGTCAAAGCCACCATTATGACTCACCTGGAGGATGGAAACAGCCTTTTAACTTATCTCCAATTTGATCTTTGTTCCCTTCAATCTGTTTCTATCACAATAGCCAGATCGATCCAATTAAAAAGTAAATCAGAACAAGTTCCTCCTCCACTCAAAAATCTTCAAGGATTTCCCATCACACTTAGAGTTTAAGATAAGTCCTTTCAGAGGCCTATAAGGCCTTATATAACTAGTCTCTCATTCCCTCTGGTCTCAATGCCTATACTCTTCTCTATCATGGTATAAATTTAACAGTGTCTTAATGCTGAAACTTTTATTACCTAAGAACAGTTTGTTAAATGATTTTGAAATTCAGATCAAGAAATTATTCAGCACTTTCTCATAATGAAATCAGTCTGGGAGACTGAAAAACAATGAGAAATGTATTTGATACCTAGTAAAACTAAACTCTGAATTACACCTCACACTTTTATGGCATTTTAAACTAGGAATAGGCATAGTCTGGAAAACCAACTTCAAAAGGCAATTTTCATTCAGAACATACTGATTCATAAACTTACGAATTTGTAAGTGGAAAGAATTATTTGTAAAACTAGAGGCCCATTGCAGGAAGAGATTTGTGCAATAGGCTTTCCTTCCCTTGGCTTCCAGCCTGGGCACCTGGGACGTAGGCCTTCACTCAGGCTGGAGTGTGCTACCTTTGCTGCAGACTCCAGCCAGAGTCTGCCTTCTTCATCTTTGCTGCAGGCTCCGGCTGAAATCTGCAATTTTCCTCTTCACTGTGGCCAGAGTGCCACTCCTGTAGATCCTTTTGCCCCTGCCCTCCCTCTCCTATCAGGTATTCTGCCCTACCCAGCCACTCTGCACCTGGAGCAGCTGGGTGGCCACCATCTTTGTCCTTCTAATTTGCATATTCCCTCTGATTGGCTGATGGGCGTAGTGAAAGTATAGTCAATTTACCTGTTTGTCTATTATTAGGTTAAGATTATATAATTTTTATGTAACTGGATCAACAACATGAAGTAAGCTCTGATAATGATGACAACCTATAAAATCTATTGTTCAACCAAGGGAAAATCTAAGCACTGACTGCATCTTCTGAAATCCTTTAAGTTGTTGTAGTTGCCTTGCTGATTTCTAAACAATTTGACTTTGGAAAGGAAGAAGACAACAACATAAATTCCATAAATCCTAAATTTGCCATGGAGGGCAAGGATGAATAAAGATTTACCTGATGCACAGAAGAGGGATCCTAAGAGAGCTTATGGTGATGATTTATTTACTTTGCAACTAAGAAAGGCTTAAGGGAATCTTTTAAACATTTAGCTTGCACCACCAAATTTTTAATTTACTGTACTATGAGAGATCTTTAGGGTAATACACATAGACATAGTTTTAGAAGACCTAGATAACAGTCCTGTCTAGAAACTAAGAAAGTGGATGGATCGTGTTAAAAGGTCTCTCAAAGGCACTACAGATGTGGGGACTAACCCAGACTTGTGGGCAGGGTGGAGGTAAAGTTATCTTGTTAAAATATATCACATCAAGAGTGTGCTTTTTGTAAAAGATCTATTTTAGGAATCTCTTATCAATCATAACAATAAAGCACAAAATATAAAAAAAGGTAAGTTCCGCCTTGGTCTAATGGCTCAGTTGGTTAGATTGTCTTTCCATACACCAAAAAGTTGAGAGTTCAATTCCTGATCAGGGCACATATCTAGGTTGTGGATTAATCCCTGGTGGGGGGAAATACCAGAGGCAACCAATTGCTGATCAATGTTTCTCTCTCACATCTATGTTTCCCTCTCCCCACCTCTCTCTCTAAAATCAATAAACAATTACTCGCATGAGTATTTTAAAAAAGTAGACTCATTGGTAATAACAGCATAAGAAAATAGTACTTCAAGTGGCTGTAAATAACAAAAGCAATTTTGTATGCATTTATCATGCAAATTCCTTTTCTGAGTTGAATTAATTCACTAGTGAAGGAGATTCCTCTCCATGCTCCCCCACACATACATATACACAAAGTTGCTTATTAAATTAAAATGCAATAAAACCTATTTTAAAAGGATTGCCTATTGGGATGCTCCACTGCATATTTTAAGATAGCTGACATGTTCCAACTTACCCTGTGCAACAGTAAGGGTGGAGGCCATGAGACACACCTCATACTATAGGTGGTAGGCATGCCCTCCAGTCAAATAATTTTATGCTTGCTTTTAAGGTGAGTAATGGCATTAAGAAGTACAATTTAAGTTGTACTAACTTTAAAACTTTCTGGAGCATATTTTATATTCAAGTTTTAAAGTCTGATTTAAACTTTTATGAAAACAAATTATGAATTTTTAAACAATCCTATTCTTTTGAATAGTATCCTAAATTGAATTTAAGAAGTATTATGGTTCTAAAAATATTAATTCAGCCTTGTTAAACAGTCTCTGGAAAATAATAATTTATGACAGTTGAGGAGATAACTAAAAAGTTACCTTCATGAGTAAAGTTGATGAATTTAAACAAATAAAATGAGGAAAACTAGATCCCACTAAAATGATAGTCTATATTCGAGTAGTAGATTATGTTCCTAATTACTACAAATTCAATGTTGTAGATTTATAGATAGAGCCATGAGCCTGAACTTCAGATAACAGTAGACTTAAAATAAGTCAAATTGTAAACAAATAAGAACTTAAATTGATACAGAATATTTAATTCCATAAAGCAATTATAATTATCAGTAGAACTGATGTACCTTCAATTATATGTATGAGTAGAATATGACCAATGATTCTTTTTATCATAAGCAAGTAAAATTTTTCTAAGCAAATAGTATCTTTAAGCCTATTTGCCCATTATTTTGTGGTTAATGAACACTAATTATGATGATGATGTCCTGAATCTAGATTTATTCAACATGCAACTCCTTATCTAGGTCGTAATAGTGCTGTCCAATAAATTTTTTTTTGGTAGAAATGTACTGTATAGATATTGTCTACTGAACACTTTAAATATGGGTAGTTCAACTGAGGAACTGAATTTTTAATTTAATTTAAATTTACATTTAAATAGCCAGAGGTGACTAGTGGCTACCATATTAAACAGGACAGCTTAGAAGCTTCAATAAATAAATAAATAAATAAATAAATAAATAAATAAATAAATAATAAGAGCAAATGTCTTATTATATTAGGTCTAACTCCAGTCTGTTGATTTCCATAAGAATGGCATTAACAAATGTTTACAAAGTGGTATGCCAAACACCTTTTGTCCTATAGTCTACTTCATTCAAAAATATGATTACATTTATGCCGGTAAATAATAATACAACAGACAGACAATTCAAACAAAAAATAGCACTGGAAAGATTTTTAGTAGTGCCTATGGTGTGTCAGTACAACTATACTGATTAATGAGGTAGCCTGGTGGCCTGTGTCAATCTGTCTCATGTTAGTTCTAGAATGACTAGAATTCAAACTATGAAATATCCACTCCTAAGAAGTTTTTGTCCATTGCCTATCATAACACAAGAATACCAATTGCTGCATAGTTTTCAGCTCCATTGGTTAAATACTGCAAACGCACGTCAAACCATTTTACCTGACAGACATATTTGTTCTTCCATTTGCTCAGCACACACTGACTGTTTTGCATCAGCTCCTGAAGGAAACAGAAGAAGAGAGTGCAGTTGGCAATACACATGGTCATTATCAGTTAAAGTGCCTCTGATTTGCAAACCCCCCCAAAAAAAAAAAAAAAAAAGAAAAGAAAAGAAAGAAAAAGAAAAAAAAAGATCAGCATGCCATACAAAGATGCAACTGTTTTGAAACTCCTCACTGGACAAAAGCAAAGCTCTCAACACCAGGAGAGCCGATCCTTTATGAAAATTAAAGCTGTTGAAAGATGTTTTAAAACAGATTTGTTTGTTGCCATTTTTGAAACTTTTGGAAAGATACCTCCAACTCCTTGAGTGAGTCTCGAAGTTTTTCTGGGCGTCTGTTTTTGAGCGTCCACGGATAATCTCGTGCTGGCAAATAAAACATGTACTACAGTTAGTTAAACATGAATGAAGGAAACGCTACTGAGCAGTGTGCCTAAGGAAGATTAAAATAAAACACCTCCTTAACTGAGAAGGAAGTGGGCTTCATTTCCATCATCAAATGACAGCCTTTTGAAAGGCTTTGTCATAAGAACAGAATTTTTACCACAAAACAATCTCCCTGATCATAATTTTATGATGACAACCAACAAGGCTCAGAGAATGCCTGGGAAAGTTTCCTAGGCTTCTGAACCTAATACTTAAAGGTAAATGACCCCCTTCTTAACAAAAAATAGCATTTTCTTTTATATAATTAAATGTTCAATACAAAAAAATTCCAAATTCTCAAACCTGAAAATTCCTAATGAGTAAATGAATACAGCGAGAAAAGAAGTAAAATACAAAAAAAAAAAAAAAAAAAAAAAAACACACAGAAAAATGCATTTTAAATTAAGCATCAAAGCATCACATACTAAGATTAAGGAAAAAATGGAGACAAATCCAAGTTTTAACAAATTAGTCACTAAAATTGCTCTTTTTTTTAATGTAAAACAATCCTCTTTAAAATCTCCACCACAATTCAATATTGATAAAGTTTGCTGTGTTTTAAATACACTTAATTAAAAGATAAAATTATTTAGTATAGTCTCGATGTTGGCCTAAGTCACACTAAAAATAAGTTTTGTTTAAAAAAATTAACAAAATGTTAAATTGATTATAATTATATCTAATTCATCATAAGAATTAATCTTTGAATTCTCCTACATGCTAATTTTAAATAAGAGTTCTACACATGTGTGTATGTGTGTGTATTTTGTGTGACTATACATATAATATGTAGTATATAGATATTAAAATTTTACAGTAGAATTGCTGTGTCTTATTTCAGCAAATTTATTTTAAAAACATAATTTATAAAATGTAGAGCATATGTGCAAATTTTAAGACCTGTTATAGCTCCTAATAGAGTATTTTTTAATTAAATATCAACTTGACCCTTTAAAACAACAGAATAAGTAGGATTTTCAAAGCCACCTATATTCCAAACAAAATGTAAATTATATTTAAGCCATTAAAACTATACTATAAAACTATACTATATTCTAGCATTAGATTAACATATTTAAATATTTTAGAACAGAAAACTAGAGAGAATAAAATGCTAATACTTGTCATTACAAATCTTATTTTCTTAAAATAGGTAAAACAATGGTTTAAGCATAGCACAAATAATAGAATGTTATCAGAATTTAAGCACAATGTATTTTAAATAAATAATATAAATATTAAGAAAGTTTACATAAACATAAAAAAACTGGATAGAGATTGCAATGGTCTAAATGAGAAATTCCTAACAAATACAATTCTTATTCATTTGTTTATATGGCTAAAGAATGAGAATTTTTAATTATAAGAAATTTAGAAGGAATATAACATTTCCTACTTATACAGAAAGCTTAAAATATTTGTTAAACTGAATCTTCAGGGATGTTAAAATTCCAGTTTTATAATTATTCCATAAAATATATAAAGTAAGCTTACATTCTGCCAGTTTCTGCTTTGCTTCTAAGTTACCATGCTCTGTCGCTGATACTGTGGTGGAAGAGTTGGAAAGAAGAAAAAAAAAAAGCAGAATTTTTTTTTAAATTTTAACACTTTGTATTTTTATATGCACATATATAATATATTATCACACACATTGTTGAGATTAATAAATTATGCTCAACTTTTTAAAAGGTAGTTGAAAAGACGCCATAATTTAGGTGCTTTTATTTCATGGAGGTATTTCCTAAATTTGCAGTGAAAAAAGGCTTATGTAGCACAACAGGTGGGCCAATATCCTGAGCTTGCAATCTCATCAGATATGGAAGGGAACTGCAACCGAGCCCAGAACAGAAGCGGTTTCAGTCTGTCATCAGAACCATGAAGTCAGCCTATTAACGCCAAGCCAAGCACAGAGGAAGCCCACACAAACCCACTTCAACGGAAACCAAAACAGGAAGTAACTCTAGCTAGAAAGACCTTTTGGCCCAGCAAAAACTTCTGGGATTAACAGGATTAATCAGATAAAGAAAATTGATCATTCACACAGAAATGCCTATTTCAGATACCAGGTGAGGATCTGGCAGGCCAGCACAGGGAGCCATGCATTCACAATGCCCTCTACTGGGACGCTGATAAATAAACGAGACTAGGCTGTCCAGTTATCAGGCTGATCAGCAGTCAAATGAACATTTTCACGTTCTTCTATAGCATTTTCTCAATATTGCTTTATTTTATATAGAACAGATGTCAACCTCGGCATTTTTCTAAAGAACTGAAGTGACTTAATTCTATAATCTATTAATGGTATACATAGGTTAGTATATTTTGTTTATAAGAATTAGTTGAGTAGAGAGGATACTTTACCTGGTTGATCCTTCTTGTCATAATACTGGTATATCCCAATATCTCTATCTACAGAAAGGTAGAAATAACATTAGATTATGGTAAAAAGTTCTGTAGAATAAGAAGCAAACCAGACTACATGGCAGGGTAGGAGTGAGTATAGGCAGGGAGAAGGACAAAAGCGGTCTCTAAGTTACTAGAAATAAAGTAATTTGAAAGTATCTAGACATAGGTTCATGTATTCAACCTAGGAACTCTAAATTCAACTAGATATTGGAAAGTTTACCAATCTAATTAGAAAAGATTTACACAAAACTAAAACGGCATGAGGAAAAGAGTAGTAAAGAACTGCAATGAGGAGGCCACCTTTTCTCGGTCACACTTCCTCTGATATTTTCCACAGGGTGTTACCCCAAGGGTACTGCCACCCAGCAATGCTAAATGAAATCCGTGGATGGAAGAAAATGCCCCAACTCTTGGATTCTGAGCTGTGCTTTCTTTTCTCTTACTTAACTCAAGTCTGGTAGGGTGTGTAGTGGGGAAGCTGCAGGAAAGAAAGAGGATTAGAGTGAGGTGTGGACAAATTATCTGAAGCTGTTTAGACTTAAAGAAAAACCTTCCAAACCCATTCAAAGTCGGATGTTCTGCCGAGGCTACAAAAGAAGCAAAGCTAGGTTTTCCTATTATAGATGCTGAGAGTGATTTAATCAAGGAAGCCTGTTATTACAATTTAATTACCGAAGAACAAAATAACTGTGTCCATTTTCTTACTATCTATGAATAGGGAAACATTTTTCTTTGAAGTAGCATTTGTTTCCTTCCATGCAAAATAATTCTAGCTACTAACACAAGGACAGAACTGTTTCCAAAGAAGTGGAAGGGAAGCAGTACAGGCTGCCCCCTAGTGACTGACTACTCCGAACTTTCTCAATTTGAATGATGAAACTTCAAAAAAAGTATTACAGCTATATATTTGTATGTAGTTTTCAAAATAGTCAATCATGAATACTAATGAAGCTATATTTTATTCATTATGCTATTAATTTGGAATATAGTTTTAAAGAATTCAATTCATTTCTACCTGACTGAAATATCTAATAAGGCGTTATTGGGAAAGGTCCTGGGTAGGGATCCTAAGGTATTAGTAATATTTTTTTCTTTCTTTTTCCACTATTGCTATGGCTTGATTTAAAAATATATATATATATGTGTGTGTCCTGACCTGGAATTGAATTGGTGATCTCCTGATGCATGGGACAATGTTTAACCAACTGAACCACACCGGCAGGACTGTAACTATTGTTTAAAAAGAAGTGTGACATATATATATATATTTTTTTTCAATAAACTATAGATGTAAATTTTTCTTACAGATATTAATTTTCAGTGATTAATGTCTTAATATATATACATTTCTAAAATTTTAAATCTTAATGAAAATGTACTGTTTGACATTTTGACATTCTCCAGAAAATGTTCATAAAGCAAGACATGTTATTATTAGTTAATATATTTATTATTATTAATAAAGACACCAGAATTGTACTCTGGTTGGGATCTTTTCATATATATACATTTTTATTGATTTTTTTTAGAGAGAAAAGAAGAGAAGGGAGAAAGAGAGAGAAACATTGATGTGAGGGCCAAACATCTATCAGCTGCCTGCTACACACCCCCTACCAGGATCAAGCCCGCAACCCGGGCATGGGCCCTGACCAGGAATTGAACTGGCAACCTTCAGTGCATGAGACAACACCCAACCAACTGAGCCACCAGCAAGGGCTCTAGCTGGAATCTTAAATTGAAGTATTTTCTTCTCTGATCATAATTGCTTACTTTTTTCATCTCTCTTGCTCCCTTACTTTCATATAGTTAGCTTTTATGCTTCTTTGAGATCAATCGCTTAATCCCTCATCTTCTCCTGGTCTATCGGCCCTTTTAATCTACAAATTCACTTTCTTAGTCTAGAAATATTTCTTTGGTAATCTCCTCCCCTCCTTTTGGTTGCTTTTCATGGAGTTAGTATTGGTTGAATTTTTGAGTTCTTAGGTTGAACAGCTAACATTCTCTTTCCTATTTATTATCTTTGTTTTTTTGTCACAGCATTCATTTTATTTTTCTAACACATGTATAAAATATAATTATGTTCTCTTAATTATATGTTCATTGGATAAACTTGGAGGGGGGAAAATAAAAAAAAGTTCATTGTGCTATCTTTCCATTCTTCAGAGACAGCCACTCACTAATAACATTTGTTGTCTCTCCTTAGAGTTTTTTCTATATGTATTTAATTACTAAAATGCTATAATGAAAATACCATTGTAACATTTTTGTTTTACAATTGCTGGATTAATGGGTAAATAAATACTTATAAATAATGTTAAAAAATAAAATATAACCCTGGCCAGCTGGTTCAGTTGGTTGTATTATCCTCCTGTACAGCAAAAAGGCGAGGGCTCGATTCCCAGCCAAGGCACATACCTAGGTTGTGAGTTCAATTACTGGTCAGAGTAAATATGGAAGGCAACTGATCCAAGCAATCAATCAGTGTTTCTTTCTCTCTCTGTCTCTCTGTCTCTCTATCTGTCTCTCTCTGTCTCTCTCTCTCTTAAATCAGTAAAAACATATTCTTGGGTAAGGATTTAAAAAAAAATGATAGAGATAAAATACAAAATACATATGATTAAAAATATACACAAACCAGGAAAGAACAATATCTTTTATGCCTTCTGTGTGCCCTTTTCTATTTCATCCCACTCCCTCTCTTCTCCAAACTATACTAAAACTTTGTTTATAATCCTAACGTTCTTTATAGCATTACAATATATATTTGTCTCCTGAAATAAGACACTATTTAATTTTGTCTGTTGTTTTTAAACTTCCTCTAAATGCTATCATATTATAGGAACTCCTCTACAACTTATTTTTAAATTTATGTGTCTAATATAGACATTCATCTATACTGTTGAATGCAGCAGAAATTCATTCACTTTCTTAGTTGCATAAATGTGTTTTCTATATGTATTTTGATTCTCCTGCTGATGGACATTTGGGTTGTTTCTAATTTCCTGGATTATGAACAGTAATACTATAAACATTTTTATAAAAATCTCCTGGTGCACAAGTGTCAGGACTTTCATTAGGATATATACCTAGGAGTCGAATTATTAGTCAATAGGTGACATACTTTCAACTATACTAGATAACACTAAATTGTTTCCTACGGTGGTTGGACCAAATTATACTTTCACAGCAGTGAGATAAGCTCACTTTCATTCTTTGATGTGTGCTTTTTCTATTTTCTAATAAGCTTTCTTTTACTCTTCTGAGTTTTATATTTTTTTCTGCTACATTTCTTTAATTTCCAAGATATGCATATAACTTTCCAGTGTTTGCTGAAGCTTCTGCATATTGTCCCTTGCTGTTCATATTTAAAAATGAGTCACAGAAAGCTGATCAGGAGCTCTGTGCTCAGGAACAGGACTTGCCACCTGGTGGGCTTCACTGGTCGGCCAGGAACCGGTGCTTAGGCCAGGAACCCATCATCAGTGTCACTGTGGGGAGTCTTCTCTCCAGAGAGGATTCCCAGAGCTCCTCCTTTCTGGGGAAAAGTCTGGTGGCTGCGACTTCCTCAGAACCAGGTGGGATCAGGAGGACCTGACCCACAGTATGTAGGCTTTCATCTCCTCCCTGCCTTCAGTGCAGCACCGCTCCCTTGCTTCTTCCACTGGGCTGGGACCCAGGTTTAAAGCCTCCCTCATTGAGGATTTCCACCACTTCTCAAGCAGACTTTTAAGTCCCTTGGTTGTCACCCTCATACCACATCCCCATCTTCTGCAGTATCTGGCTCCTCAAACTTCGGTATCTTTCTAGAGTTTTGAAAAACAGACAGGCTGTCACTGGAATTCTGCTCTGTAGACACTCGATGTTTAGATTTTTAAGCTTTGCTAATTCCTCCATCTCTTCTTCCAAAAATCAACTGCAATTGTCGCCTTGCCTATTCTTAGTCTTTGTGGGTTTATGTCTTCTTTACTTTAATTTGATCCATTTTCCCTTATTTTAGAAGAATTTGAGGAGGAAACAAATGTGTGTTAAATCCACCTGTTTTACTGGAAGTTCTACCTTTAATATTTTAAGCAAGGCAAAAAATGAAATGAAAATGACATTCATCTGTAATTATATGTTTGATATAAATAAATGATATTTTAAGACCTAGAGTCAAAGAAGCACAAACAGACTCTTGAACCTCAGAGGGAAGGCAGGGGAGGATGAGTGGGAAGAGATCAACCAATGAGAACTTGTATGCATATATACATAACCCGTGGACACAGACAATGGGATGGTGAAGGCCTGGGGCCCAGGCTGGGGGTAGGGGGTGGGGAGAGGAAAGGATGGGTACAGGCAGGAAGAGGTTGGGGGGGGGGGGGTAGGGGAGCTTTGTAATACTTTCAACAATAAAGATTTTTTTAAAAATGATACTTTATAAGGTAAATCCACATACATAAAACTGTCCTCTAAAATTCAAGAGTTGCCGAGACCGGTTTGGCACAATGGATAGAGCGTCGGCTTGGGGACTGAAGGGTCCCGGGTTCGATTCTGGTCAAGGGCATGTACCTTGGTTGCGGGCATATCCCCAGTGGGGGGTGTGCAAGAGGCAGCTGGTCGATGACTCTCTCTCTCTCATCGATGTTTCTAGCTCTCTATCTCTCTCCCTTCCTCTCTGTACAAAATCAATAAAATATATTTAAAAAATAAATAAATAAAAATAAATAAAATTCAAGAGTTGATTTGGGTAACCAAAGGGAAAAAAAATTTGTAAAATATGTTCCTTAATGATATATACTTTATTTTATAATACTAATAAGCATTGTTAGAACACAATTCTATTATCCCTTCTCACAAAAAAAACTGTGAAATAAAAAGAATATGAATTAATTGTATGTCTTAGCTATATGTTTGAAATATTACTTTCATATTAAATAGAAATGCCTTTACCATTAGTTAGCCTGAAAATATTTATTAATCAGTCATTATGAACAATTCCAGCAAAAATTGAACATGTATGTATCTTAAAAGGAAAAACATTTTAAGCCAATAAAATTAATTTTCACAACAGAAAATCTAACTCAAGCTGAAAAATTAAGTTAAGCAGAGTAACTAAAAGAGATTATTTTCCATTAGCCAATTTTTCATTAAGAATAAAGAAAATAATGCAACTCCAGCTGGAGAATCTAGGCTCTAACCTTTGTTAGTATTTATTTATAATGTTGTAACTTATATTTGAGAAATATTGAAATTAATTTGAGCTCATTTACCCCCAATGTGTAAGGTATTCTTCAAAGACCACAGGTGCAATTCAGTCAAGCAGAAAGACATCTGATAGCAGAAGGAATCTCTGTCCTGTTTAAAAAATAATTAAAAGGATGTGTCAATTAATTATCTCTGATTGCCAATAAAACCAAGATCTCTAGAAATAATAGGATCATTTCTCACTACTGATATTTGAGATATGGTTCATTAGAATAAACACATTACATATCCTTGGTTAGCCATCCAGGAATAAACCCTAGAAAAAAGAAAAAATACTCTTATTTTCCTAGATTTACTATTGTCATCACATTGTGGTAAGAAGACTCTCTATTTGAGTTTGCAGTGACGTGTGGTTTTGAAGAGTCTAGATGTATTTAAAATTATTTCCTGTTTAAGCATTTTAAAAAACATTTTTTAAGGAAAGAAAGCATCTGTTGGGTAGTTATTAAGTACAAACATACTTTGTGGTATATTTTTAATGTACAAAGCAAATATGTACTCTCTTTCACATACAAATTGGCTAATTAAAATAAAAAATTGCAAGGTAAATGGTATATAGTTACTATTATAAGAAACACATTTATTTAGAATTAAACTATGTGAAATCATGTTAGTATTCAGATTAGTTTGTTATTCTACTCCAACTCCATTAAACAACAAATATACATCCTGTATTTCCTCCCAGTTTTACTAGCAGGAATTAGTGATGGGTATTACTGCTAACATTTTTTTAAAATATATATTTTATTGATTTTTTACAGAGAGGAAGGGAGAGGGATAGAGAGCTAGAAACATTGTTGAGAGAGAAACTTTGATCAGCTGCCTCCTACACACCTCCTACTGGGGATGTATCCGCAACCAAGGTACATGCCCTTGACCGGAATCGAACCCGGGACCTTTCAGTTCGCAGGCCAATGCTCTATCCACTGAGCCAAACCAGGTAGGGCTGCTAAATATTTTTAAATTAAGTAGAACCTAGTCAATTTTAACTGATTGGAAGAAGATCAATCTGAATCAGTAAAAAATCAACATTTTATAAATATTTAAAAAAGAAGTATGTAACTTTCAAATATTTGCTTGGAGATACATCTAATAATATATAGTACATTATAAATAGATTATGTATATATTATATGTATACTGTACTACATATTAGAAATAAATATATAGTAAACTACCAGCATTTTTTTTTATTTCATAAATGAAATGTTCTTTCCAATAAACATCTGAATAACAAAAGAAGCTTAAAAATATTTTAAGACATCTTTTAGATGGGAAAATAAAATATCAGCTTCTTTAACATTAGGAGTGACTAAAAATATTTTCCATGCTATTCATGTGGGTGATAATACAAAAAACTTTAGACACAGTACAAAATTCTTAGGCCTTCCTTCATCTTTAGATTTGACTTTAATGCCTTTATAATCATCAAGAAACATGCAGTTCAACTAATAAGAAACTGTGCTAATTATTAAAACGGCAGAGTGAGCAATGTAGCAGCATAAAAAGGCCTGAGCCTGCCTGATACAGCATGCCTCTAAGAAATCTACAGAGAAGTTGTAAAATGTTAGCAGAACCTCAAAGAAATATAGGATTCCACCAATTAAATGATGACAAGCATTCTTCTATACATTTGATATTTAATCCTCATAGCTACTCATTTAATCCTCATTGCTACTCTTTGAAGAATTGCCATTATCCTATATAATAAAAACATAATAAGCTAAGTGTCTGACCCATCAGTTGACCATTTGGTCGACCACTCAACCAGCCTCTATGATGTGCACTGACCACCAAGGGGCAGATGCTCCGACCAGGTTAGCTTGCTGCTGGGGTCTGGCCAATTGGGTCTTGGTGAGAGGGCTGGGCATGACCTGGAGCCCTCCCACCAGCTGGCCAATCTCCAGCGGTCCCTCCTCAGCCGGCTGGCTCCCATTGGCCCTGATCAGGACTGCACAAGACAGCCCTGATCACTGGCCAGGCCGAGGGACCCCACCCATGCATGAATTTGTGCACCAGGCCTCTAGTCACTTGTATAAGGCGGAAAACGAAGCACAGATAGGTCACACAGCCAGTAAGTAGTGGAGACAGTCTAAAGATGCATGATGAAAAGTGATAGACTAAGTTGAAAAGGGTAGAAACGAAATAGGCTATAATAATAATAATAATAATAATAGTAAATTCTGGATTGATCTGAATTCACTCTTTTCCTTATACAGAAGTGCCATAAAAAGTTAAGATGAAACAAAGAATCTTTCAATCCCTAGATCTGCCTGACTTTAACCAAAAGCTAGCTGCCTCTGCACACAGGTAACAGAGCCAGTGGACTGTATTACTATGAAAGAAGACAGTTCCTTCTCAGAAGGGAACAGGAGAAAAGAGATATTATGCAAATTACGAGTTTTTCAATTCAATTGAGTATTATTACCTTTCAGAGTTGTCACCTTAGAAGTGACTCTAGTGAGGCTGCTGTTACACAAAACATTATCAAAGCTGTGTTCTTTGGAAATTCTTTCATTAGTTTTATGGGGATCATTTCATAATGACTACAATATAGTCATACTTTGTTTTTAAACAAACATAATTCCTGTTTTTTGAATATGTAAACTGCACCCTTTTCATTGGGATGGATAGGTCTGGAATGTTTATTTAAATAATCAATTAATTAATTAAATATATTTTTTCCTTTTTTTAAAGCTTAGACTATGGATTTTAATTGCCTGGTTTCTTATTCTAACTTCTTGGCTTACTAGCTAACTCGGATAAATTACTTAACTTCTCTGTTTCTAGGTTCTCCCTACCCAGGACTGTATTGAGGGTACCATTATTCAGTTACCTTATTGTTGCCATTGTTGATGCTACACAGTATGTTTAGCATGTGCACATTCATATGGAAAAACCAAAAAAATATTAAATATAATCTCTCACTTTATATAGTTATTTCATAAAATGAAATGAATGAATGAATATAAAGTATAATCGAGATTTTATGAAGGAAAAGCATCTGAATGTGCAGAAGTTTCTATATAAAAGGAAGTATTTGAATTAGGACATGTAAAGGGGTTAATATTTTAATGGATAGGGAAAAAAGGAAGTGATGAAACAGGTGCATACTTCCTCTGATATTGAGCATCAAAGTCACAAGTTCTAGACTATACTTGAAAATAAAAACTTGTGCTACTACTCAAATGTCTATAATTAGAATTTATGGCAATTTTGGCAAAGACAAGATTGGAGTTTAGTTAGTAGCTACATAAAAATATTTTTATCACACAAATTAAATATAGATAAAATTTTATAACTGAAACCAAAAGGGTAATACCTTTACTTACTCTTCAACAGAAGACTGCATTTGAAATGTTATTTTTCAGTTTAATTCAATAATAAATAATCTGTCTAAACTTTCCATGATGACAGAACTGAAGAATGGAATAAAATTTCCTTTGTAATCCACACTGGCTATTTCTAAGAGGCAGGAATGCTTTTAACTAAAATACCAGTAAGTCCAATATTCATATATTTACTAAGTTTTAAATTCCTAAACTACTCAGAAATCATGTTGTTTGGGTAGAACTAAGCAAAATGAGATCTATGGAGAGCTTCTTATGTCATGTGCAAAGCCCTTAACCCTTTGCATTTGGATATAATGAAAAATTCTGAGAATGGTACAGTGTGGAGTCTATAATCTGGACATATCTTCCAGGTTAGCACCTAAAAGTTCATGTCTGGTTCCAATGAGGGTGGGAAGACAGAAAAATGTATACTGGTAAGCTAGTTTTCAAAATGTTCTGATGTACAAACAACACTGCTCTAGTTCCCACTAAAAAATAAAGGACAAAAAGACGAGAAAGACGTTCTACTTTATAAAGAACCCCTATGTGGCCCCACAGGGAACGTTTGTATAACGGAGAAGGAACTGTAGGGGTGGTGCCTGCAGAAAGCAAGCAGGACTGTAGCCCTGCGGACTAGTGGACTCATTGAGGTGATGGCATCCAGACAAACTGGGACCACACCCAGCTAGAGTAGACATGGTGGCCGAGGAGTCATCCATACACCAGGCGACAATCATTATTATTTGATCATGCAGGCCCAGTGAGCAGTAGGTACGACAAGTGAGACAATGGCAATGTCCAATAATGATCAGGCTTATGTATGAACATGTGACAACACCTGTGGACTCCACATAAGGTGTGTAATTAAGGAGAAGGCTTTGCAGGGACCATGCATTGTCAGAGGGCAAAAAACAATCATGTATGGATTAGTCATCCTTCTTTTTCCATGAATGTCAAATATCTGCTAGTAAGACCATATAAAATTAAAGAGAACTGATGGAGTACATAAAACAAATTTGCAAAAATCTGTAATAATAACTAGATGGACATGGTGGGAGGGAACCAAATCAATATCCTGTTTAGTCCTCAAGATGTCTTACTGTCTCCATAGTGTGACGTTTTTTGGAAAGATGAGGACCTTTAAACATCTTGCATTTTACTCAAGAATGCCAGTGGTTGAAAAGAATTTCCTCGTCTGAAAATTCTGCCTGAAGGAAGTTATCAAGACTGAACTCGTATTATTCAAATATTGTATTAGTGCATAAATAGTTGTTTTGGAAGGGGGAAGAATTTCAGAGAATGCTGGATTCTGCATTTTGGGAGAGGGGTATGAGAAAGGGAGCGCAAAAGGAAGTAAGTCGAGAAATGTTGCCCTACTCAGTGCTCTTGTGCATTTCTCTGGGGATAAAACCCAATGTACTTGACTTGGAACTAGAACAAAAGTAGCTAACTCGGATATATTGGATGGAAATGAATGAAAGAATGAATTAATTAAAAATACAGCAAGCTGTCTTAATATTGAATAGGGAAAAGAATGATCCAAATGAAAAGAATAGCAGATGGAAGAACCTAAACAAATAAAAATATAAGCCCATAATTTTTCATTTATTTAAAAATCTTTGTAACATTTGCAACTTTCTGTTACTTTAATTTTATAAGGTAGTTGATTACCGTCTCAGATGTCTCAGAAGGTCATTCTGAATCCAAACTTCAGTCTCAAAAAGAGAATAAGAAGCAGGATTTAAACTGAGCATGAAC